CAGTGCTTTAATTGCACACCAAACTTAACATGGAAATTATATACTAACATTAAAAAGACTTGCTCATTTTTCAAACGTTTCACAGATTCATCCATTTCAAAATCAAAATACTCTGGTGCTATTGCCTTGTTGTTACAGTTGTGATGTCAGTTCCACAGATGCCTCCAGAGAACTGCCCTTGGGGAGGAGGGGAAGACCTTCTGATTTATGAACTGCACTGTGTGAAGTTATGTACTGCCTGAGTAGATCTTTATTGAGATGCAATTTGGGACATAGGTCCTATCAATCACAGTAGGTAAGTTTTTAAAGAACTCTTGTCTATGATCACAAAAATAAATTCCATCAGAGGAGATTTTAATCCAGCGCAATACTGTTTAGGTAGCAAGACCTAGTGATTTTGTTTATGTGTGACAGGAAACATCTGTAGCAACTAAAGGTGTTCCCAAGCAAAAGGGTTAACAGGATTTAGACCTCCTTTTCTGCACGAAGGAAACAAACCTCTTGTATTTTTCAACTAAAAAGTTCCAATTAGTCAGCAAATTCTGATTTTTGTATTTAATATAAAAGTGGCAAAGCAGGAGTATGCAAGTAAAGTACATAATTATGTATTTCTCTAACTATTTTTAATATCAGCTTGTATCATTCTCAGGTGTTAGAAACTTTGTTTTTTATTGAAGCAAACACGATTTATATATGTATATTTTTAAAAAAAAAAATACTTTATTGCATCAACACTTCAGATACATTTCTTCAACTTCATTTGAAAACTCTTGATTCACACTTGCAAAATCAGCTTCATTTAACTGAGAAATTAAAATGCAATAAATACATATATCCATTGGAAATGCTATGCTTAATATCTTAAAGCACAACTGTTGCTTAACCACTGAGGAACAAGTATTGTTTGCCCCAGATTATTTAAACTTGACAGTCATTCAGAAACAAAAAGTATATTGGAGTGCAATTTCTAAGGTGAATTTTGACAAGGAAGCGCATCATAAAAAATATCAGCTCCTATTGTCCCCCTCCCCCAAAAAATCATGTTCATATTCTGTGGCACTCATACTGTTTTATGTGAATGGATAACATTACAGAAAAAATATTGCAGGTTTTTTACAGATGGCCTAATTTTCTTTGCTGAAATTGCATTAAACATTTGAGGAGCTATTTTTCAGTTACATGCAAATGTAAGTGATTCTGTCTAAATATACTGTACTACTTTGCAACAGCTCCTTTATAGGTTTAAGCTAGGATAGGAAATGTAGTAACAGGAGACAACTGCATTAAGTGCCTATCTCCCCAGTTTTCTAAATGTTTCTTACCCCTCCAGGAATAAATCTCAATTTTGGAAGCCAAGCATTCATCAAAATTTAATCTGTTTCTTTAAATGCACAACAAAAACTAAAGAAAAGCAAAACATAAAACTTCTCATAAGCTTCAGGCTATATCTATACATGACCTGGATAATTTTCTTAAAAGGAAATGCCTCCCATCCAATTTTACAACCATATAAAAAGTAAAAACACTTGAAATGATATCATACTCTTGCTCTTGATGCATGATTTATATGCTGTCATGTGTCACTTTTTTCTTAATTTTAATGTGAGATAAAACTAGGATGGAAAAACTAGTCAAGGAACAAACCATGTAAATGCACCTTATTTTGAGGTTTTTGCTAGTCGTGTTTTAAAATATTCACATATTTTTGCACTACAGAAGTATGGATATAGCGGAATAAATAGAGTTTATAAATGATATGTATTCTCCAAAGAATTTGGTAATATTCAATATCAACCCAAATAAATTCATAGTTTAAAATGTCCACAGCAAAGCATCAAGCCCTTTGAGAACTTTCAAATTTCTGTAACAAAATTGCAATCCTGAGATCCAAACCACTGGGGGGGGGGGTGAAATAATCCACTGTTCTCGCTATAGATTAGTACATTTCAGGCTATTTTCATTTTTCTAATCTCACTTATCTTTTATGAATTTTGCCAGTGTGCCACCACAATTCATTAGAATCAAGTTGCTACTACCATCTTCACAGGCAGCAGGAGTGCAAAGTTTACATAATCCCAAAATGCACAGAGATTTTTCTCAACACAGTGTGGTTTTAAAACCCCTGAAGTCATGTGAAATAGGAGAACTGACCTCAAGGCACTATAAACCTGGATGGTCTGGTTGTGAGTTAAAAGGTCAGACTTGCTGGGGAAGGTCCTGAGGCTGTTTCAACCTAATAGTAACATTTGATTTGAACAAGATTGTGTTAAAAGCCCAAGTTTCATGAATTTATCTGTATTATTGGCATGTCTGGAACTTTGCTGAAAAACTGACAGTCTAAAACACACAAAGAGAACAGTGATCAAGGAACTAAAAAAGGAGGATGTAACCAGTAAATAGATAACATTATAAACAGAGAGAAGAAAACATTGTTTTTCTGCTTCATCCTGATAGATTTTCTTTGCATTGTTTCTTTGCCTCCAGTTATTTTCACTGTGGATTTCCTCCTTTATGTGGACTTCCCCCGTTCTCTCATTAAACCATAATTAAAATCACCTAATTTTGTATAGAATTACAAATGTTTTGTACTGGAATTTGTGAACTCCATTAATTGTCATATGAATAACTGCATTAATTGCACTAAACACAACAGAAAATCTTACATGTTAAGTGATACCATTTCAAAAGTAGATAAACAGTCACTTCTGACAATTTCTAAAACCAATTTATGACAATTTAGGATATAAAAATTTGGGGAGCTTGCATCATTTTTTCTCATTATTTTATGCTAGTGACCTAAGAGATACTTTTCATGGAAGAAAAGGATCTATTTTGTCAAGTTTTATTCTTTCTAAGTATTTTCACTGTATCAAGTATGGAACTGGGTGCTGAAAATCAGGCTCTCATAAAAAAATATTTTTAAAAAAATTATAAGCAACTAAAGAAATTAAATTGCAATCACTCAGTAAGGACCAGATGGTGTTCAGTGGAGAATTCTAAAGGAACTAACAACCAGTATAACTGAGCTGCTAACACAAATA